CCCCACTGCCCGCAGCCTGGTGAGTCACGTGCCCCCCGTGTCTGGGGATGGGAGCGCTGGGGAGGGGCTGGGGAGCAGTCTTCTCCAAGGGTTTGGTGCTGTGGGGTCACGGGGAGTCTTGGTTTGTACTTCAGCGTAGGGTCTTTAGGAGGATGAGTTGTTCTTACAGGGCTGTGTTGGGGGCAGTCTTAGCCCAGTGGGCAAGAGCAGGACTGCACTGCTATGTGACCGTGCCTCAGTTCCCCGTCTTTAACCAGGGGTAGTAATAGTTTGTGTCATGGTTGTGGTGAGGATTAGATGTTAGGTATAGGAGGGCCCCCAAATACCTGCAGTTTTAAGCTTTAATAATTTCAGAAGGATAAATGCTATAAACTCACCCCCAAAATCATTTTAAAGTTTATTTAAATTTTTTTCTGCTTCCTTGGTCTTGTGAGTACTTTTGGTTGCTCGCCATCTTTGATCAGAGCAGTTAACAGACCTTAATCACAGACATCGACTGAGACCTGCTTAGATGGTGCCCCAGGTTTTGCTTGAGGTGGTGCATTTTGTGTGTGGTGCAGAGGCCGGATTCTGTCGCCCTAAGCAGGTTGGGGTGGCGGGTGTGGGACGGAGCCAGGAGAGCTGATGCCGAGGCCCCTGGGAGCCTGCCTGTCAGCTGTGGGTCTTCCTCTCCAGGGGCACTGGCACCAGCCCGAGCTGGAGCAGCGCTTCTCCCGGGTCCAGGAGGCTGTGCAGGCACTGAGGGCTCTCCGAGCCACATACCAGCTCACCAAGGCCCGGCCCCGAGGTGAGATGGGCCCTGGGTTCCTGAGTCCCTGCAGGAAGGAGGGGCTGGTGGAGGAGCGGGGTGAGCCTGGAGGGCAGAGTCCAGAGTTAGGAGGTGCAGGGTGGGAGGGGAAGCAGGATCTCATGCTCTGACCCTGACAGTTTCCCTTTCCGCCTCAGTGCTGCTGCAGAGCTCAGAGCCTGGAGAGCAGGGCCTCTTCGAGGCCTTCCTGGAGCCCCTGGGCACCCTGGGCCACTGTGGGGCCGTGGGCCTCTTACCCCCAGGTGTGGCGGCGCCCTCCGGCTGGGCCCAGGCCCCACTCAGTGACACCACTCAGATGTACATGGAGCTGCAGGTGCCCAGAGGAGATTGGAGGGGGAAGGGAGGGATTGAAAGGATGTTGGGAGGAGGGCAAGGTGCGGGTTCTGTAAAAGTGAGGCGGGCTCCTGAGAATGGGGCAGAGAGGCATTGGACAGGCTGCCCATGAAGCAGAGCTGCACGGGGTGCAGAGAAGGCTGAGCCCTTACTGTTCTTCCGCAGGGCCTGGTGGACCCCCAGACCCATCTGTCTCTGCTGGCTGCCCGAAGACACAAGTTGCAAAAGCAGCTTGATGGCCTCATGGCCTGGACCCCATCAGAGGGAGAGGCAGAGACTAAGAGGCAGCAGAGGGTGAGGCTGGAGGGCTGGCTCCCTGCAGGAACGGGGGCTGGAGGGCATGGGCCTTCTATCGGGATCCTCACCTCCTTCTCTTCTCGTTTAGCTTTCTTCCCTCCAGTTGGAATTGTCGAAGCTGGACAAGGCGGCCTCTCACCTCCGGCAGCTGATGGATGCGTGTCCCAGCCCCGGGGAGCTCTGAGCACCAGCTCACTATCCCTGGCGGTTTTTTCCTCCCCCAGACCTGCCTTCGAGGACAGACCGATATGGCAGCTGTCGGGGAGACCATGTGGCTCACCTCCCTCATTTCATAAATGAGGAAACAGACTGGCTTGGTCGGTGTCACTGGGCGTCCTCAAGATGCCTACGTTCCTGCCCAGCCTCCCTCCTATGCAGTCCCACCTGGAAGTTTAGGAATGAGATAAACCTTTAAAATCCCAAACATCCCAAAGGCCTGTGGGCCTTTTATCCCTCTATCCCCTAGTGGTGGACTTTCTTGCCTCTCAGTGGTTCCCTGAGACTTTGGTCTAGGAAAGGAGGGTGGCTGCCTCTTGGCCTTGGACTCTGGGCTGCAGTGGAGTATGCATGCTGGTGATACCGGCCTCGTTGGAAGAGAGAGGAGCTTCCTAGGACGGTCTGGGTACAGTGACTTGGGTTCCACCTGCTTCTTAGAATTATTGCCAGTGCCTTGGCTTCTGCGGGCCCTTCCTCCTCACCAAATGGAAGCTCCCCTGTTCCTTGGCCTTATCTTGGGGGGTACTGGAGAGGAGCAGGTACTTCCTGTGGGCCCGAGGGGCTCCAGAGTGCACTGGGGCTGGAGTGCTGCTCCCATGCCGTGTCCCTGACACCAGTTGCCAGGGACATGTTGCCCAGCCTCTGACACCTGTACGTCCCCACTGACGCAGACAGCCACCCACCCACCCTGAACATCTCGTGTCCTCCCCGTGGAATTCAGGGGCCTGCCTCTTACACGCCCAAGTTATATTCTGTCCAGCATCTCTGAGTAGCTACTGTTTATGGTGGGCCTCTCAGGGTCTGGGTCTTCCGTGATGCCATTGAGAATCTCATGGTGGATATTTGCTCCATTTTGGAAATCAAGAAATGTGCTCTGAGAATAAAAGCAACTTGTCCCAAGTATCAACTGGGATTCAACCCAGTAAACAGGTGCAGTTCACTTTGGCCATGATAAGCAAGCTTCAACTAGAATGGTGGCTTAGGCAAGGTGGACGTTTCTGCTGCTGGGCAGAGGTAGGGCAGGGCTCTGCAGAAATGGAGGCCCACACCCCACTGGATCTTATTTCCTGCCATTCTGATGCACTCCTTCCAACTCGGGGTCTAAGATCTGTCCCAGCTCCCCACCCCCGTTCAACAAGTACTTCTTGAGTACTTACTACTGTGTGCTGGGCCCTATTCTGGACCCTTAGATTCATCAGTGAATAAAACAAAGATCTTTGCCCTTGTGCTACTTTCACTCTAGTAAAGATTCAGAAAGAACCCATGTAAATAAACTGTGCAGTGTGTCTGAGAGTCATAAATGCTATGGGGAAAAAAGGGTAGAACAAGTTAACATGGGAGGGGGGCAGATTGTAGTATTAAATAGGGGGTCAGGGTAGAACTCGTAAAAGTGAGATGTAAGCAAGGACTTGCAGGAGCTGCAGGAATTAGCCAAGTGGATGCCTGGGACGGAAGAGCCAGAGCAAAACTAAGGAGCATATCTTGAGTACTCAAAGAGTAGCAAGGGGGCCAGTGTTGGGGCAAGAATAGGGGGTAAATTCCATTGTGGGGTAGGGTGTCGGGAAGGCTCAAGGCAGACCATCCAGTGCTCTGCTGTCCTAAATGGTTACCCCTTGACTAATTAAAATTAAATACAACTAAACATTCAGCTCCTCAGTCACACTAGCCACATTTCAAGTGTTCAGTAGCCACATGTGGCTAGTGACTACCATACTGGTCAGTGCGGGTCAGTCTTGGAAGAGAGATTTTTTTGGGAAAAGAATTGGGAAATCACAGCCTGGTGATCCCAGGCCCTGAGATCTAGGAATCAGGTTGAGGAGCAGTTAGCGGTTTGCTCCTCCAGTCTTTTGGAAATCCAGACATCCAGTCCCCCAACTTGGTTAGGGCCTACACTCCTGACCCAGGGGTGTCACCGGCCCACTGGTGCAGGCTAGGAGCAAGTCATGAAACACTGGGACCCTTTGCGGCTCCCAGTTACTTCTCTTCTAGCCTGCTGGTCCCAGGACAATTGTAAAAAACTAGAGGAGTTTTGTTTCACAGGTTTTTCTTTTCACTCCGCCATTTTCTATTCTCCCCTCATCTTCAGGGATAGTCTCTACAGAGCCATGCCTTCACCTCCCTCCAAAGGAGTTAGCATCTAATTTCACATGGTGTGTAGGTGGGAAGTATGATAGGCAGGGCTGAGGGCTGTACAGAATAGGAAACGATCACATTAATACACCCAAATGGTCAAGTTTGGGCTGCATGCTTGCATTTTGAGAGAGGTGGTAAGAAGTCAAGGTAATCTTGGGTGAGGAGTCAGATGAGTGCCTGCCTCACGAGTATCCGGAGGAGGACCCTTGACCCCTGAGGGGACTAGGACTTATATGTTGGGACCGGGGTTCCACCTTAACCACCCCTACTGCCCATTCCCACTTATCTGGCATGTGCCCTCGGTAGCTGGTCCACGTAATCCTCACGGGGGTCCAAGCGGCAGGTACTAGCAATCATCCCCAGGTTGCAGGTGAAGCAGATAAGAAATGTACCTAGGACTCAAGCGTGGGCCTGTGGGCCTGGATGTCCTCATAGCCAGCCCGTACAAGCTCTGCTCCCCCACTCCTCCCCACCACTCACACCGGGCTGGCCATCCCTTCACGGGTAGAACCTCTCATCTCCCACCGGGGCTGCCTCCCCCCATGCCTACCTCCTACCCTAACTGACCTATGTGGGGCCTGTTCTGTCCACATTCCTCTCTGGGCTCCTGAGCTCCCAGCCCCAAGGCTGAAGCGAAGAGAGATGAAATGAAAATCCTGCTCAATCCGAGGCAGTTGTCTGGTGTCGGACCTGTGTCTGCTGCAAATGGCCCTCGAGGGAGTGACTCACCCTCGGTAAGCCTCAGTCTTCATCCGTAAAATTGGATAATGACACCTGTTATGCTACATTCAAGATCGCTGCAAAGCATCAAAATGGGAAGGCATCGAGCCTGGAACGAAGTAAGAATTCAGTACAGGCTTGTTTGCTTTACTCCTGGGTGTTCTGAAGATCTCAGCTTCAAGTGTATGTTCACACACATGCGTATGTGAGTGTGGTGCGTGTGTCCCCAAACAGTTAATTCCCCAGATTCTTTCTAGGCCTTTCACACTGGTGTTGAGGAAGAGGGTGTCTGTCCCGGAACCCCTCTGCTTAATAAGGGGGAGAGTCAGAGACTTTGGTGTCCAATTCTCTTTTCCTGCTGGCCCTTTACTCATGAACCCACAAAGGCAAGTCACTGAATTCAGCACATTTACTCAGCAAGGTTAGGGCATCCCTCTTGTACCTCGGTGGCCAAATGCCTGGGCCAAGGCGGGGACACAGGGTTTGACCATTCTCAGACTTTGCAGATGACATAGCGTGGGGATCCTGCATGATGGAGGGTGACGTTGGTCCCTGATGGGAGGTGAAGGAGGAGGCAGAGCTGGGGGAGAGAAAGGGTTAGAGGGAAAGGTGTAAGATGGTTCTCACTCATCCCTTGGAGATGGCCAGGCCCCAGCAGAGAGGCTCACACCGAGTCAGAAACATACTTCGAGGTCACACAGCCTTGTCTTTCCCCTCCCAAAGAACTACCTTCTCGAGCAATTCCAGGAAGCTGGACTCATAGGAGAAATTTGTTAGAAAGGAGTCCTTCAGCTTCAGCTGCAAAGTCATTCCTGGCCCTAGAGATCCAAAAACAGAGCTTAGGGCCCAGTAATTAGGGCCATATTCCCTCAGAGACACGAGTACCCCATCCCCTGCTCCCCTCCCCCATTCCTCTTCCCTGACAATGCCCTTCCAGACCCTATCGATCCAGGGGTTCAGCCCCAGGCTGAGAGCTCAGGACTGGGTGCTGTGTCCCTCTCACTCCCCTCTTTGGCCTCTCCCTGCCATGAGCACCCAGGCATCAAGCCCTCCGGCCCTCACCTGTTCCCTGTGAGCTGCCCAGGAGAGTCAGGAAGAGGAAGAAGGGCATCCTGGCCCCCATTGTGGCCACCTTGCTTCTTGCTTCCCTGATGGACAGAAGAGATGTCTGAAGCTCTGGCTGGCTCTCCTTACCAGGCCTGCCTTTCTGCACTCCACTCAATCCTTAAGCCCAGGCGTTTGGAGGGAAATGGGAGAGGGAAGCTGGGTAACTGGATTTTCCGGTTTTCCCAATAAGACTTTGAGGACCCAGGAGAGGGCCATTCACTGGGCTGTTGGGGAAAATAGAAGGTGGTTCCCTTTCCTCAATCCTGTGCCCCCCCCCCCCATATCTGGAGACTTGAGGGGGAGGGTGCCCAGTCCTACAGAGAGAGAAGTTAAGGAGGTGTCCCTCCTATAGTGTCTGAGCCCCACCCAAACTCGGGCCTCTCCTTGCTCTTTAGGGATTAATTATTAACTGCAATTAATTTCCATCTTTCACACCACCAAAGGGTTCAGGAATGTGGGCCCAAAAGGGAGGGGTAGATTACACCAAGTTTCTTCCCAAACCCAGGTGTCCTGCTCCCCCAGGCACAGTGGTTTTCTAGGTGAGAGATCTGGGTAAGGGGGAACTTTCATCTTTGAATGTTGTGTTTTAGTTGTTCTAAAGCAACCTATCTATTCAGGCGGAGACACAAGTTTCATCAAATATCCTCCCACCCCCTGCCTTATGAACAGTCATCCTCCCAATCAACAGCTGTATACACAGGCACCCCGAATGACGAAACCAAGGACAGATATGGAGAGAGTTTGGAGCCCATCTAGTTTACCCTCTTACAAATTAGGAAACCAAAGCCCAAAGAGGCCACATGACTCACTAAGGTCACACAGCAGGTCAGTAGCAGAGAGATTAGAACCCATCCCTCACCATGCCAGACACAGGGACAAGCTCAACAGATTGACACACTCGTCACATAAACCCCCCAGAACACACAAAACACATGCCCTTTGTCCTCCTACTTGCATGACTGTATTATCGCCCTCCTCCCTCGAAAACCAGTGGGCCCAAGCACGGAGGGATGGAAGCAGTGAGACCACTGGGCGGACTCAAGGAGAGAAGCCAAAAGCAAAAGCAAGGAAATAGATGGAGGGAGACACTGCCTACGCCATAAAAATAAATAAAGTGAGGCATTCAAGGATTCGCAGACTTGCACAAGAGAGCAGGCAGACAAGAACGGAAAGAATAAATGGACAGAAAGATCAGCAGGCAGAGGAGGTATGAGCCGGGGGCAGAAAGCAGGGGCACAGACAGATGCTTTGGGGCATCTGAGTCTTCTTAAGAGGCAAGTGGGGGCACCCTTATGTCTTTCCCAGCTGGTGCCCCCAACTCTTTCTATATAGTCATAGCTGACGCTGCTGTTTGCTAGGAACATTAGAACCCTTATTTCCTTTGATGCTTGTAACGACCCTTTGAAGTAAGTACTAGATCACCCCATTTTAGGGGTGAAGAAACGAAGACTTCGGTCACATGACTTGCCTGAGATTGCATAGGTTGGGAGTAGTGGATTCAGCGTAGTCTGGCTTCAGAGCTAGGTTCTGAACTTCTGCATTGCACTGTTCCGGAACATGATTCATGTCTTCCCTGGTGCTCCTCTTCTCCCCTTGCCTCTTCTCTGCCAAAGGAATGGAAAGTTTTGTGAGCCACAGCCAGCTAGGTGAGAGATGGCTCAGGTGTTTGCCCTGCCCTGAGGTCTCCCAAAGGTCAGATGCAGGCCCCAGGCTTTGACATTCTCCACCTCCATCCAGCTCCCAAAATCTGCTTCCTCAAGGGACCCGTGTATCCTCACCCCCCAGTGGTTGTACTTCTAGGAGCAAGAGCACTCTGGGAGAGGACACCCTTCCTTTGAGGAAGGTCTGGGCTGGAGATTGACTTGGGCATGGGAGATTGGTCCCAAGTCTGGGAAGAGCCTGAGGGCCAGGTAAGGGAGTCCTCAGCCTCTCTCACTCACTCTCCCCCTCACCCAGTGTTTCCTGGGATCAGGCTGGGATAGGTTAATCCCCCGGGGACAACTTGGTGATCTCTCCCTGGGGATGGAGATCCTGGGGTTGATGGAGGCCCGGACATATCTGGCTTTCCTGAGACTTGTAATCAGCCTGAGAGCCTTTAAAGAGTCAGGGAGATGGATCTGGAAAGGCACCACGGATGCTACACTGGTGCTGTTTCTGGACCTGCAGGAACACCAACCTTCGAAAAGGGGTGTTGGGGTGAAGATGTGGGCTCTGGACCCAGGGACATGGCCAACTCTTCTAACCCCATCACTTCATTTTTCTTCTTCTTCCAACAGCTCAGCTGAGCTTATCGGGAAACACAGTATCCGGATGCATCCTGACTACCTCTGAGAGTCCCTCAGGCTCTCAAGATACCTCTGCCAATCTCCTAACTATTTCTGAGGAGATCTCTGCTGGTCTCCTCACTGTCTCTGCTGGTCTCACCACCATCTCTGGCAAGATCTCTGCCAGTCTCCCCACTGTCTCTGCCGGTCTCCCTGTCATCTCTGCTGGTCTCCCCACCATCTCTGCCATCTCCTCACTGTCTCTGCTGGTCTCCCCACCATCTCTGAGGAGATCTCTGCCAGTCTCCCCACTTTGTCTACCAGTCTCCCCACCATCTCTTCCGGTCTCCCCACTGTCTCTGCCAGTCCCCCCAGCATGTCTGGGGAGATCTCCACCAGTCTCCCCACTTTGTCTACCAGTCTCCCCACCATCTCTGCTGGTCTCCCCACTGTCTCTGCCGGTCTCCCCAGCATGTCTGGGGAGATCTCTGCCAGTCTCCCCCCTGTGTCTACCAGTCTCCGCACCATCTCTGCCAGTCTCCCCACCATCTCTGCCGGTCTCCCCACTGTCTCTGCTGGTCTCCCACCATCTCTGGAGAGATCTCTGACAGTCTCTGCACCGTCTTTGTGAGTTTCTCAACAGGTGCTTCAACTTCTGGGGGTTTTCCCAGTAGTCCTCAGACTTCAGCTACCACCATTTCTGGGAGCACTGCAGTAACAGTCTCGGTGTCGCCAGGTGATATTTCTGTTGCTCAATCCATCTCTGAAGGGCTCTTTAGCTTGGCCTGTGGCTCAGGGCAGGGGCTTCCGGTGCTTGGCCATGGGTAAGTCGACAGTTCCCCAGAAGCTCACCGAAGCAGTGCCCTGGCCTTGGTGGCTATACAAAGGCCCCCCTTCTGCTTTTCAATTCACAAAGTGTTTCTCTTGTAGTTGGTGCCTTTTGTATCCTGCCCAAGACTTTTTTTTGCCTATGTCAAAGTAAAAAAAAATATTCTCCTATATATTCTTCTGGAAGCTTTATTATTTAGGCTCTGAAATTTAAGCCTATGATCTATCTTCGATTAATTTCTGTGTATGGGGTGAAGTAGAGGTCAGTTCATTTTCTCCCCTTATGGGTAACCAGTTGTCCCAGAACCATTTATTTCAAAGACCCTCCCTCTCTGCGCACCATTGAATTGTGTGAGTACCTTTATCCAAAGTCAAGTGAGCATATATGTGGGGGTCTATTTCTGGACTCTATTCTGTTCTTCTGTGTCTATTCTTATGTCAGTGCTGCAGTACTTAATGACCGCAGTTTTGTACCAAAGTTTCAAGATCTGGTAGGATAAGTCTTCTACTTCCGTTTTGCTTTAAGATTTCTTGGCCATTTGTAGTCTTCATTTTCATAGAGTCAGTTCATTAACTTATACCAACAACTTGCTGGGATTTTGACTGAGGGTGCACTGGATGTAATTTCTGCTTCTGCTCTCACTTTGATTTCTTCTGGCCATTTTCTCTCTCTGCCCTTCTAGGATCTGTCTCTCTCACAGCAGCCCCAGGAACTGCTCCCACTGTGCCTGGCCTTCCACACCCAGCATGGCTCTCAGGAGTTTCCACTCCCGTAATGGCTAGAGCGGCCACCACATGCCATGAGCTCAGCCTCCACACCAGTAAGGTGCTCTTATTTGCATTGAGCCATTTAACAGTAAAGGTGTTGGTTGGACCCATTCTCTCTTATTCTTCTGCAGCCAGCCCTCACTCTTGGAGGGAGTGTAGGAACAGGCATTTAGTGCCTGCCTTCAGCTGTGTTTTGAGTATGTCTGAGGACGTCCACAATTCTTAAAGGGGTTTTGGTGCTTCTGGTCACACCAACAGCCAGATGTCTCTTACCTGACTGCTTCCTTAAAAAGTTTCCAACTTCCTTCCTCATGGCCTGATCTGTCTTTCTGGTGCAAGAAGCATCCCCTCCAAGATCCTATTCCCCCTCCTCCCTCTGTTTCCTCCTCTTCTGCCCTCCATTCCCAGCAGGGAAGGCATGGGCAGCCTCCCCCCAGGTAGCTGAGGACAGGAAATGAGGAGAGGGAAGACAGAACAACAGGCTCTAGCTCCCCTTGATAACTAGCATCAGGCCAGGGGGGTGGGAAGGACTGGGGTTCAGAAGAAGGAGAGAGGCATGCCTGGGCATCCTCATAGCAGACACATCGCAGATTGAGAGAGATATAGACAATAGAGCCGGAGATACTGGAAGAAGGTTCAGAAAGACGGAAAGACGTGGATGTCAGTGAAGAGTTTAGAGACCGACAGACATACGTCCACAGGTGTCGGGGAAGAGCTGGCTGTGGCTTGGATGGAAGCCCTTAAAAAACCCCTTCCACTGAGATTCTATTCTCAAGATGCAGAGAGAACTCCACAGAGAGGTGTGGTCTTTGAGCTGCATAGACATCAGAGTCACAGAAGGAAAGATGGAAAGCATGGAGGACAGTGGGGAGCTGGGGGTTGAGGTCCCTCCTGCCTTGATCACTGTTTCTCTCTGCTCCTCAGGCCCAAAGCCTCAGGAGAAGAATTCCGTCCGGGACTGGGCCATCGTGCCAATCAGTCTCACTGTGGTGGCCGCAGTGGCCAGCCTACTGTATGGTATCAAGAAGGTGCGTGAAGCTGTGGCCCAAATGTGTGGGTCCCCAAGGCCAGTGGGGCTGGGACCTGGCATTCCAGGACTCTGAGAAGAACAGGGGCTTCAGGGAGGAGGATGACAGCCTGCCACACTTAGGGAGAGGTGAGGGGGAAAGGAAACCTTGT